GCATTGATATGATGAGGTGAATGAAAACTATTTTTAACACCCGTTTCCTTAGCTGAGCTGTGGGCATTTTAAATACCTTTATCTTTTTTCCCTAATGTATGGAGAGTCTTAAGGAATAATTATCCATAAAAAAATAAGGAAATTCTTAGCAAATCATGAAGTTGAATTCCCCCAGAGAAGCACTCACTAAGGTGAATTCATTTCAGTGATAAGGAAAGAAATCATTTGTGAAGAATATAAGACTATGTCTTTAAAATCTTAAAGTGTACTCTTGTGTGGACAATAACCAGAGCACAATATTTTCAAAAGCTTGCACAATGTATGCTTTCCAATTTTCAATCAGGATTTAGAGATAAGTTCACCTGAAGTAGGCATGTGGGTAAGTAATATATTTTAACTAACACAGGGACCATCAGAAATCTAAAAAAAGCTTGAAAAATTATACATTAAATTTTTTGATCATGTATGTTATATGAAAAAATAGACATTTATTCAAGAATATGCAAGATACAAGAAACATTGTACATATGACAATGATGCCTCAGTCCCTTTCAAAGTAGGCACCTTGGGACCTCACACAGTTCTCCCAATTGTTATCAGCTGTGCTGTCATAGTTTTCTGAATCTGACTGATGGTCTGAGATCTCTTCCCTTTCAAAGGTAATTTTAGTTTTGGGAAAAGCCAGAAGTCACAGGGTGCCAAATCTAGGCTCTAGGGGGTGCTAAGTCACCTGGGTGATTTGATGTTTTGCCAAAAACTCTGCAGGAGACATGGTGCATGAGCAGATGTGTGTTGTTGTGATGAAGCTGCCAATCATCAGTTGCTCATAGCCGTGGCCATTTTCATTGTGTCTCTCAACCAATGAAGAACATTGAGGCAGCACTCCTTACTAACTGTTTGGCCTACAGGGGCATACTCATAATGGACAACAGCTTCCCAAGCAAAAATCATATTTAACAAGGTCTTGGTATTCTGTGACTTTGCTGCACCTTCTTCGGATGTGGAGAACTAGGTGACTTCCATTGGAACGACTGGGCCTTTGTTTCCAGATCATAACCTAGACCCACCATTCAGCTCCTGTTCTCACATTGAGGAAATCTAGTTCATTGGTAGAGGTTTGAACAAGGTCATTAACAACTGAAGCACAATGTTCTTTCTGCTCTGGTGGCAGAAACTGTGGAACAAATTTTGCCAAAACAAGTTTCATGTCAAGATCCTGCATCCAAATCTTGGACACTGTAGTTTTTGGAATCCCCAGATCAGCTTGTAGTTCCCATACTGTCAGTCATTGATCTTTGTTGACTGCAGCCCACACATATTCAACATTCTCAGGTGTCCTGCTTGTTGCAGGCCTCCCAGAACGTGGATTACCTTCAACTGATTCTCAATCATCTTCAAAGTATTTGTGCCACACTTTTATTTGTGCTGCACGCATTGTATCATCCCCAAAAGCCTTCTGAATCATCTGAATAGTTTCTGCAGAGGAGTGTTGAAGCTTAAAGCAAAATTTGATGCAGATTTGTTGCTTCACTCATTCAGTCATTTTGAATGCGACAGCCACACACATATGCTCACTCAATGGCATCTATTACCCCCATTGACTAGTACAGTAAAGTCATCAATGTTCACACATGTGCAGTCCAGCCCACTCTCTTTGGCCTCCAGGTTACATCAATGTCCCACAAACCATTCTTGTTATATTAACAATGGCTTGACTTTTTCTGGATAGACCCTGTTTCTCTACAGTATCTCTGGAGGTCTAGTATCTCTATGGAATCTCTCACAAAGGCAAATTCTCAAAAAAAAAATGACCATATTTGTAAAATTTAGGTTATACAACAATTACATTCATCTTTGAGTACTTGCAAAATACATTTTGCCTCAGGATATTGAGCTCTTTAAATATGGATAAGCAATTTACCTTTCAAGTATCTCAAACGAGGAGAGAGAGAACAGGAGTGAATGTCAAGGGCAACCAGCCTCCACTTCAGAAGCCTCCACTTCACCTGGGCCTTTGCTTTGTATTTCCCCAGCCATCTATGGTCGGTAACCTTCATGAGGCAGAACTGGATATAGCAGTTTTGCTTCCATATCTATCTATTCAGATATAAGAAGGCCTATATTCTCTAACAGCATCTCCTTTGGTTTGTTATAATATTAGCTATTCTGTATTAGGTTGGTAGTATATATCAAAAATATTTACACATTTCAATTTCATTATTGTGTTGACTTTGTTTTTCATAGAGCAAGCTTCTGAGGTAAGTGTAATTATTTCTATTTGATATACATGGTAACCAAGATTTTAAAAGATTAAGTCACTTTCTGAGGCTAGGAAGTGGAAACAAATGGGATTTGTTTTATCTGGCTGATTTGGAATCTAATGTCTTCGCCCACTAAGTTTTCTTATACAATGTGGTATGCAGGAAAGAGTATTGTCTTTAGACTTAGGATAATTAGGTTGAAGTCCCAGGTATAAACTGCTTAAATTTAACAGCTCCCTGAAGCATTTTCTCAGCTAACATCTCCCCAGTTGTAAAAAGAGGTTAATGTTATCTATCTTCTTTAACTCACAAGAATATTATGAAAATAAATTTTAAAATGAAAATGTTTCATAAACTATACAGATCTCTGTGAATGAATACTATCCTAAAATTTGGACTTGCACATATCACATGCATATTTATTGAATTTAAATTTGATAGATTCTGTGGAGTAGACACAGTGACCATTAAGCCAATTTTATATTATTATAATAAACTTAATTACTATGCTGAAAATTAGGTGAATTAAATGACTTCTTGGCTGATGATTTGATACATAGGCTGTGGTATGACGATTTTCTTAGTAAAGACTCCCTCTCATCCCCACTTCATGGCAAGTAACAAAACTCATTTTAATGTGTTAGAAAAGCAATGTATTTCTTAAGGGAGCTAAGGATGGAGTACAGCTAGACCTCAGGAAGGCTGGAGAATTAGCAGGTACTAACTGACAAAAACTGTTTCTCTCTCTCTCTCTCTCTCTCTCTCTCTATCTATCTCTTTCTCTCTCTCTCTCTCTCTTTCTCTCTTGTTCCCATTAGCCTCTGTCTATCTGTTTGTCTGTCATTAACTCAATGATTCAAAATGGAAACCTCTACTAGGTTTACTATCTCTTCAAGGCCAAGTTTCTAAGGCAGTGCTACCAGAATCTCAGGATCCCAAGTCCAAATTTTCTAGAAAGAGAATCTGATTGGCCTAGCCTGGGTCAGAATGGACACTCATTACATGATGTCTTAACCTTCACTGTTAGCATTTTGTTCTGAATAATCATCCTTTGTGCGGTGAGAGTGCAGTGAGGCTCTGCTGAGCCTTGGTAGGGTACTACTAAAACTACAAACACTACAGTGAGGAATCTAATCTTACCTTAGAATACTGCTTAGAATTCTTGTCAACACATTGCTGCCCTAAAACAGTGTTTCTATTAAATAAGTTAATTTAAGTCTACACTGAAGATACTGTACTTCTTCCAACCTTTGGTCAAAACCCAGAGTTTGATAATATTATACACTGCTTTCCCCAGAGAATAAGGAAACAAGCACTTACACACATTGCTCTGTCAGAGGAAATTGTTACAAACTTTATAGAGAACAAGTTCTGCATGTTGTCAATCTCTGTCAAATTTCTTACATATATCCTTGCCCCTGTGATTAACGCTTCTAGGAATTAATGCCACAGGTAAGTCCATGCACATATGCATTATAGTATGGAAAGCATGCTAACATTTGAGTGAAAAATGAGCAGGGACAAACACATACTTCCAACCACGTGCATAAATTGTCTCAAAACCAGTACGCAAGAATAGCAATGCCATTTGCTGTGTACGGGCGGCTGAGAGACAACGGCGGGGCCCAAATAGGAAGAAACCTTTTACTTTATACTCCTTTATATTTTATGAATATGAAACATGAGAATGTCTATACTTTTAAACATTAAATTTAAGAAATTATTTACCTTTGAAGTGATGTATTTTCCTATACCTTTTTTCTTTGGTGGCTCTCAATAAGGTAATTAGTTGTGTATTTTATGTTGAAACAATTTAACAAACATAATAACCTGAGGCAAATTAGACATCTAAATTTTCATGTAATTTCAAACAATTACAAATACTGTTAGTAACAGTATTAAAAATTTCTACAATATCTAATATTGGTATGTTCAAATTTTAATAATATTTTTATATGTCTTCTGTGCATTTCAAATAGCCAGCACATTGTTTTCTATACGTAATTTCAGCCTTTGAAAGAAGAAAGTCTTTACTGTTTATATAGAGCATTTTGTTTTTTCTTTTTAAATCATTTATCCTTAAGATTACTGAAAGTTTAATGCTGATTTAAGTATCATATGACTTTAAGAATGCTAACAAAATAGAAATTTTTATTTTATTAGGTACAGTTGATTTTTAAATGTCTTAGCAATGATAAATAGCTCATGAATAGTTAATGATTAATACAAGAAACAATATATATTAAGGGCAAGATACATTGTTATTTTATAGTGAATCTATATCCATAATTCACATAGTTTGTAGCTCTGTGCCTAGACAGAATAGAATAAATACCCAGTGACCTTTGCTTCTATTTATTATTCTCATGAATGAATGGTGATGTAACTATTTGGAAAAGTACTGAGATATTCACCTAACCCGAAGTTAAGTTACTACTCTTTTGTCCATATTCAGATTCCCTACTTCCTCTGACCTACAGACCCTGAAATCAGAGTTAGTATCACCCTGTCTTTGTTGTGGATATAATTAACCTAGAAATGACAAAGAAATCTAAGAAAGAATTATATATGTTTTGTTTGAAAGAAATAAAATTAGTCAGTTTACTTAGACACAAACAAATTTACCACAAGGAAGCAAAAACTCATTTTCATGTTTATGATCACCAGAGGTCTGAATATCATCGATTATGAATTGCTTAACCATTTCAAGCCTATGCTTTCTAGCAGTTGAATACTCACAGGTCTGGCAATGATTTTCTGTGGGTCCCCAGCACCGGCCAGTGCAGGACTTATGGCAACGTCCACCTGCAGAAGAGGAGAAAACACATGCGTACTTTCACTCTTTGCGTCTCCTCAAAGGAAATGTTCTTGCTCCTTTAAGAGGATTTTTATGTCATATTACAGTAGAAACATAGGCTCATAAAATACCTGCTTAAGTAACAGAACCTAAATGTCAAATACACACGAAGCTGAAATACAATCTCTTCATAGTTAAACTCCTCTCATCATTTTATATTTTAAAAAAGGAAGTCAATAAATTTGTGAATTTTACCAGCTGGTAAAAAGCAAATATTTACATTAAATATATTTTACTTTGATTACTGAACAACTTTATAGTTATGATCTATTCTATTTGATATAATTTCTAAAGTTCATGGCTTACAGATACCAAAAGTTATTAAGGATTAAATCAATAGTTAAGCTTATGAGTTAAATTGAAGTCTATGAAAACAAGAATATGTTCTTATAAACACATTACAAACCATCAGAATAAAAGGCTGCACACCTAATTTAGTTCATATTTAATTGTAGGAAGTCCTGAAGAGGATGTGACCAACAGTTAAACCTTGAGCTCGACCTGGGCAATTGGAGGCTTGACCCCTCTCCCCTGTCCTTGGAATGCACATCCTAATATTCTCAAACAAGCAGCTATTTCAAGGAGGCAACCATGAGAGTTTCAGGAATTGTTGAAACCATCTGGACTGTATACATGGTTGAGCCCAGTTAAGGCCTCTGTATAAACCTTTAAGATTCCAGTGATAGTGTGTGGAAGTCTACTCATTTTGTGGCCATGGAAGACAAGCTTTGTATATGCATATAAGTTCCCTTGCTTATTAAACCTGCCACCTACCAACCTGGAGTCGCCTGCCTCTCTCATGAGACTCTCCTTGCCCTCAGGGTATAGGGTCAATGTGTGAGACATCTTTATGTGAAAATGTCAAGCATTTAAACAGCTAAATGTTTAATTTCCATTATTTGATATCCTCCTCTAAAATGATTATTTTTGCTACCTTTATTTTCAAATAGCAGCTTTTAGCTCCTGTGGTGGCGTCTTCCTCTTGAGGGCTCTGCTACCATGGATATATGCCTCAGCAAATACAGTGTCCCACAGAGAAATTCCCATAGGGGCCCAACAAGAGAAAATTAGCTAAAGACATTGTGCATAATGACGTTCTTTGAAGTTTGTTTCTGAATTTCACAGGTTCATTCTACATTTTGTGGGTGCAAGGTATGGGATAGACTTATTTTTAGAATTTAAAGTAGAGATAAAATCTATTAAAGATGAAAGCTTTGCTATAGCATACTTATTAAACCTTCTCTGTTAATTTTCTAATATTAATTGCAAATGGTTACATGCCTTTTCAAGACATTTATTTCAATACGTTGCAAACATTATGGAATAGAGTTCTATCAGATGTTTTCTTCACCGAGTTTTTAACTTTAACTTGGAAGTTCTTATACCTGGGCAGCTTTCTCTCTTTATCTCTTTCTCTTTCTCTCTCCTCATGCAACTGACTTAGTAAATAGATTAAGTTAAAAGCTTTCTCAATTAAGGAACAGGTTCAGCAGACACACTCTCTCAGGCTGAGCCTCAGACTCCCCTAACGGTCTACCTTCTGCAAGCGAACAGTACTATTTCCCAGTTAACAGAACACTGAGGCTCCATTCCAGCCACCTTCTTAAAAGTGTCAGGATCCTTGCCACAACAGAGTTTATTTAAGGCAATTCTGTTTGCAAAGCTCTGCTGCTGACATCACCAGCATATAATATCCTGTCACTCTGCCATCTGTTTATTTAGATTTGAATGCATTATAACTGCATAATGCAAGCTCATTCTAGCTGACAGGAAAAGGACTCCATCTGGCCTGAACAATATAACTTTAATCAGTGATAATGATAATTATTATTAAAAACCTACTGGAGTTCTTTCGAACAAAGCTAATAAATCTAAATGGATTTATACTAGCGGAAATTAGAAAGGACTATGAAATAAAATGGGAAGCAGTGAAAACTTTTGTTAAGTCAAAACTTTCTTATGAGAAAGCAGCTAATGGTAATGTATTTCTTTAGATGTATTAAAATCCTTTAAATCGTCCACTAAGTGATCTGTTAGCGGACACTGTTTGAAGCAGAGGATGACTTCCCGTTTAATCTATAACTTGACTAATTGTGTTTGGGGCTAATAAAATATATAGTTGTATTCACTGTGTCCAGAGTACTACCTATAGCTGGAAAAACAAAACAAAACAAAACAAAACAAAAAAAAACTTAGTAATGAGATTTTAACACTTTCAGTGTTCCCCTTTTATTGAATTACATATTTGTACATTTTATATTTGTAGTTTCAATTTACTACCCCAAGAGCTACTTCCATATCCAAAAAGAAAAGGACTATGACCATAAAATTTGGATTTTGTTTATGGTTCTGGACAAAGTATCATGGCAAGGCCCAACTAACAGCGAACAAGTGACACGCTGCCCACCTCCACAACACACACAAAGTTTAAATAATTTCACCTTCACTGCTTACATGTCATGATGAGACTTTTTGGTAGTTTTCATTTTTCATTCATATTTAAACAGAAATACCGATTAGTGCTATAAAAAGAAGCCAGCAATTGCTTCTCTTCTGTGATTTCGCTCGGTCTTATTTATATTCTCTCCACCCCTTTTTGGCAACCCAGAGGAAGTGATCACATCTCAGAATGCTATGTCCCCAAATGTGCTGCAGGACTATGAATTGAACGTGTTTCCGTAAGTGGTCACTCCTCCTGCCCTGTCCTTCATTTCAGTTTCTCTAGAGCTTTGACCCTTTTAGAATGTGCCTAGGCATTCGGCTCAGTATTTGTCTTCCAAACTCTGTGATATATGGCACTTGTGCTAATACTGTTTTCACTGAGGTTTTGCAATTAAGTAAATGTCAAAATATGTGACCAAAATATCTAACTGGAGACATTTTAGAATTAATGCATTTACCACACTTTCATGCCTGCACACTTGGTTTGATGCTTGTACACGATCGGGTAGTGTAGTTTTATGGACTATGCTTATTATGTTTTTGAATTCTGTTTCTAGCTTTTGGTTTCCCACATTTCTGCTGCACAAAGTGTTAAAAGATGAGAGGGTAGATAAAAGGTTTCCTTAGTTATTATATATCTAAAATTGTAAAACAAAAAAAAATACAATGAATTTTTTCTTCTTACTTTTTTCCCATCTGTCTATCCATAAGACTCCCGTAGTATCTTCCATGTCTATATATTAAGAACTATGTTCAGTATTGGAGTTAGGCTGAAACAGACATAGTTACTACTCTAATTGAGTTTAGAATTTAGCATTATTTTGAAGGAAACGGCTTTGACTACTCTGTACCTAATATTCATTCTCTATGGGTTTAAGGAAAGAAGCCAGTAAATCTGAATGTTAACAGTCCTAGGTCAGGAAACAAGAGTAGGGCAAAGCCGGGTTGACCTGGAACATTTCCGATGTAATACCGGTGGCTGCAAGTCTGCTACATTCCTTCCGCAATGATTTGTTTCTGTGACATTGGCAATGAAATCAGCCCAGAATATTTCAGTGGAGAGGGTAAGTGTGATCTCTGGAGGGCCCCTTGTTTGTCTTCTAACAGAAAAATACTTTAACTGTGGCTCAGAATCTTATTGAGAGCTTTCCTTCTGTCCTCTAGTCTCAGATACACAGTACTTAGAGAGGCCTGACTTCATGAGGACAGAGATTATACATGTCACTAATATTTTAGTGTGAATTGGTCTAATAAACTACTTCTCTAGTAGTATATTTTAAAAATGAGGACAGCAAAAAGAGGAATCAGTCAAATTGTACCCTCTGTAAATGGGGGAAATGTTTTGGGGCACTAGGATTGACCAGTGCTATCCAAATCTGTCTATTTCTATGCCAAAGTTGATTCTTTCTATTGTTTATGGTGATATTTTTGTTTTTATTTTATTTATATTTTTAGCAATTTTAAAAAAATTGTTGTTCTATTGAACTATGATTGTTTCCATTAAAACTATGTGAGAATGCTTGACCAGTGTAGCTCAGCGGGTTGGGTGTTGGGATCACCTGTTCGATCCCAAGTCAGGGCACTGGCCTAGGTTGCAGGTACGGTTGTCAGGGCACCTACAAGAGGCAACTGATCATTGTTTCTGCCTCACGATCTGATGTTTCCCTCTCTTTCTCCCTCTCTTCCCTTCTCTCTAAAAATAAATAAGTTTTTAAATAAATAAAAACAAGAACTCCGTGAGAAAATGTCACTTTAGAATAAGAATCTGCTTGTCCAACTCAACTTACTGATGGCAAAATTATTTAAATTAATATCCCCTCCGGTCATTCTGACTCAATCAAAATGGTAAAAAATATAAAATAAAAATTGTAAACAAATATTTCTGTAACTTGTGCAACCATTGAAATCTTCTAAAATCAATGTTGAATTTATTGAACATCAGCATTATTTTAATTCACAGGCAATCACCTCTGTTTTGACAATGCGTTATTTATTGTAGAAGTTAGCAAATATGGCTAAGTTCATCTTTCATGCTTGTCTAGCAGATGTTACTAAAAATGTAGCTTTGCATTCTTTTTTTAGGAACTAGAGTCCCTGAGCCGCTTTGATACCTATAACAGTCATAAATCCATGATAGGAGTTTTGCTTGTTGGGGAACTGACAACAGAGATGAGATTTAATTGCACCTCTGGACTTCTTTCTGCAAGTAATATGCCAGGACAGTTGAAGGGTTACAAAATATGAAGTCACTAGTGACCATAAAAGATTATATCCTCGAACTGCCTCTAGCTAAAGACAATGCAGTTATGCCTCTGGATTCTTCTTTCAGTCCTTTTAAACTACGGCAGCGCTGACCTCTTAAAACTACTTTTACTGGGGAATGAGTGAAAGAATAATATCTTTTTTTATGAACATGTAATTCAAAAGAGGGAAGTAGAGCGTTTATTGAAAGTCTACACTAAACCAGTCTCTATGTTGGCCGGAGGATAAAAAGAGGAATAAGTAA